ACTTTTACCACATGCCTATAGCCAGGATTTTGCTTGGGGGGGGGGGTTCTTCTTACTGTACGATGGATTATGGAGCGCCAAGTTTCCTAGGGGGTTCTGGGGGCATACTCCTGCAGAAAATGTTGAAAATTCAACCTTCTGAAATGGTATTTCCTGCAGTTTTGAGGGGACTTAAAGAGAAAATCAGAGACACTTACACAAGCAGTTTTTCTAGGATTCCTGAGTCCCCCTCACGAAACAAATTAGTCCACTTTTTAAAGAATAATGTTGGATCTTTAGATAAAAAGTGGACCTTTGAGCATTGTGGGGGGTTTTTCTGAACCTCCCGAACCCCCTCTGGCTACGGGCATGTACCAGACATGAAAAACGGCGCCTTCCTTCCCCCCCAGACCTCCCATTGACCGGTGGTGTGGCGGTAATTGCGTTGCGGTCCCATGTGGCCCGGGGTAATGGGTAATTACGGGTTGGCTAAGTCCGGGAGGATAAGAGGCTTACCTGGAAATTGATTGTCCATTAAAACTGGCCTCCCCATCCGAACGACACGGGAAAGGATTGGTCACTCATCACAGTGTACACAATACTTTTTTGAACCAGGTTGCCCATCAGAATTTTAGGTTGCCTCACCTATAAGTTACTACTTTCCTCAAAGTAAGTAATGTTACATACATAAGCCTTTGAAAATATTTCTAACAGCCTATAGTTAACTGATGCTAGTAATAGCCATTAATACCTAAAATTAAAAAGCATCTGCCGGCTACAGTGGTGCAAGACAAGTGGGCATGATTTGGGGAGGGGGGGGGGATTCTTAAAATTCAGGTAGCACACTGGGCTACCTACGTTCAAAAATTGGTTGCCCCAAGTAAAATTTGGTTGCCCGGGGCAACTGGGCAACTGTCTATAGTATAGTGACCACCTGGCCACATCAACCAGATTTTATTGGTCCCCTCCTTTTTTTAATACAGTCAATCAAATGGCCTCAAAAGGCAGGATTTTCACTGCTTGAGTCAATGGGAAAACTTCCTCCGTCGAAAAAATGGTCACATTGGCCAGGTGGTCATTATGGCGGTAACTGGTCACTAGTGTTAACAGGTGGTTACTAGTACGTATTAGATATCAGAATGACCATTTCATTTCAACAGAAAAGAATTGTTACTGAGCATTGAGATTGTATGGCATTTGCTTTGTGCATATTGGGAATTACACAGAAACATTCACACAAACACATACATTGTACAGCACGTCAGCAGAACGTACATGTACTGTGCCTGCACGAATCACTGATTTTCCACGGTTTTTGTTGGATGTTTCGTCAACGTTGCATCAGGATTTTGCCTGTTGCAGAAGATATCTTTTCCTACATAACAATTGGAAACTACAGACGGGGTGTCAACCTTATATGCGCGAGTCGTTCTGCCGATGTGCTACATTGTACACACCCACAAGGAAACACTCATACACAAAAAACACACACATAGACACACAAGCCAAGAAGACTACCAACTCCCTTTGGTGACACAAAAAGCCTAAAGCCACTTAAGGCTTTGTGGAAGACCCTGTAATTTGAATTACAGGCAATCTAGAAACTGATTAACTCCTATTTCTTTAACAACCTTCTCTAACAAGGTAATTTCCAGGGAATCAAAGACCCTACTTTAGACAATTAGACTAATGAAAACCCTCCCAAATCCAGCTGATGACAAATACCTTTACAGTCTCCAGGTTGTCTAAGGACAGAAGATGAGCATTCAGACATGACGTTTTGTAATGAGAGAAAGGGTAATACTGCTCAGTGTTAGAAATACCCACCTGTAGTCTGCATTTTTGCAAAGAAATTTTTGCAGAAGAAAAAGAAGAAGACTGAAAAAATCATGATAGGGGTTCATTTTGTCTGTATAATATTGTTTATGAGCTTTTGTGCTCACTTGTAAAATATGCTACAAGTACTCACTTGTAAAATATTTGCCGACATGCAATTTTGTATGGGTGTGACTGTGAGTCAGGGCTTAAAAGTGTATATTTGCTGAAAGTATTTCTAAATCGCAGAACAATATTGTGGCATTCTGCAATATTGCACAACATCAAAAAAGTATTTTGACCACTGACTGCTACTTTTCCCAGCGTTGTAGCAGAAACGTACCATTTTCAGGAAAAGTTTTGAGATTGGATTGGAAATATGGACAAAGGTAGACAAAAAGCAACGTAATTCGTAATAGAACATTAACTGCAAAGGGTTAAATCGTAGGCTTTAACGTAATTGGCGGCAAAAATTTTGCGTAAGTCGTCATCACTACCCCCGGGCCCCCCATACAGGCCCTCCTGGTTATCAAACCCTTCTAAGTGTTTCACTTAAAGGTCATCAAAGGACATTGACCGTATGACCTTCTGGCTACTAAGAATCAGTCCCCAGCTTCTGAATAACATGTGCATCTTATTACGCCCCCCTCCCACACACAAAATACTGTAAATCAACATATTTTCATGGTTTCATGCTGTTTTCATACTGACGTCTCAAAGATGAAGTCATCACACTCAAATCACGTATTTGGCTGTTTATCCACCCTGTAGTACTTGCTTCACCATGAACTTGGAACATTATGTGAATGCTCCTTTTCCATTTTTTCTAAAACTACAAACCCTAGCGAACGAATTAACTGTAAGATTTCTAATCTAACGGCCACAAGCAGATAAAAATAAAATACCGGTAAGTCATGTGAAGATAGGTAGTACACACTAACGGGGGCCCGCATGCCCTTTTGCGTAGAGCGTAATCGGCCGTTTTAAATCTACGTAGACTCTAATTCAACGTAGAGTGTAATTGGCTCATTTTGCGTAGAGCGTATTCGCTGTTTTAATTCTACGTAATGCGCTGTAGCCACTTGGAATTTAACGTGAAGCGTAATCGAGAGGTTTCCGAATTCAGTGTAGAGCTTTGTCGGGACCCCCCCTTGCAGGCCCCCCATTATGAATGCCCCTTTTTCTTTTTTTCTAAAACTACAAACCCCAGCGAACAAATTTACTGAAGATTTCTAATCTAACGGCCATGAGCAGATGAAATACCGGTAAGTCATGTACACATTAACCTTCTCCCTGCTGCCCTTTACCCAATACATTAACTTTGTGCCAAATGGCTACCTTAGCATGCTGAGGGTTAACAGGTGGTCTACATACCAAGGTGAAAAAAAAGTGGCTTGACTGAAATAATCAGAAGGAGATGGGAGATTTACTTTACTGCCCACTCCATAATAGAATAATCCAGACTGGAAATCCAAGGCTTTACTAGTATTTTATTGGTTTGGCAGCAAAGCAACTTGGGCTTACTTACTAAGGAGCCATTCTGTACAAAACACATGGTCACAATTATGGCAAAAACTGTGTCAAAGTCAATCCAAAGTTCTGGGAATCTGAACTCATAGATTAACTGAATCTAAGCAGATCTTTGGGGGGGGGCCTGCATGGGGGGGTCCCGACAACGCTCTACGCTAAATTTCGAGAGCTGGTTACATATTACGCTGAATTCAGGAAACCTCTCGATTACGCTTTACGAGAAATTCCAAGTGCCTACAACGCATTACATAGAATTTAAACGGTGCATAGGCTCTACGCAAAATGCGCCAATTACGCTCTACGTTGAATTAGAGCGGTCCGTCTATGCTCTACATAGAATAAAATGGCTGATTACGCTCTACGGAAAAGGGCATGTGGGCCCCCCTTTACTTGGCCAAGTCGTAACCAAACAGCAAGATAGTGTCCAAAACCCAAGACACTAAAGACTGTCAGAAAATGGAACATAGAAAAAGCTCACAATCTTCCCTATTATTATCAACCTCTGCTTGCAAAGTATGGAAGAACCACAAACCACGAAGGGTGACTGATGTGGTACCCGTTTCAATAGCCTGGGGCAAGGTGTCAGTATGCGAGGCTTCTGACATACAGCTGGGTTGGATAAGGCTATAAATAACAACTAAAAGCCCACTTGTTAGAGCGTTGGCCCCAGGCTAGGTAGATGGGGAGATATGAATGGCCCTCTGGTGGGAAAAGTAGGTTTAGCCCCTGTCTTGTCTGTCTGTATGATATTTTATGGTGAACAACTGTTGACAAGAAAGATGCTATGGGAAAGGAAATGGCAATTTATTACCTCTGGGTACGGGAGTATTGTTTTGGGTGGCCGAGCTGTGGGTTTGTGTGATTGTAAAGGAAAGGTCCAAATGTTTCCCAGAAGTCCAAAATCTTCTATTACTTGTTTCCTAGGCATTAATGTACAGTGTAGGATCTGACATTTTAAAGTAGGATCTGACATTTTAAAGTAAGATCTGATATTTTAAAGTAGGATCTGACATTTTAAAGTAAGATCTGACATTTTAAAGTAGGATCTGACATTTTAAAGTAAGATCTGACATTTTAAAGTAGGATCTGACATTTTAAAGTAGGATCTGACATTTTAAAGTAGGATCTGACATTTTAAAGTAGGATCTGACATTTTAAAGTAGGATCTGACATTTTAAACTAAGATCTGACATTATAAAGTAGGTTCTGACTTTTTAAGTAGGATTTTAACAAGAGGGCATCCATCTTGTAACAGGTCTCCTTGCAATCGCTAAATTCCCTTTTTTTCACAATTTCAGGTAAAAAAGACGGATGGCTCCGAGCCTAATAATTATGAAAACCAAGGAATGGAAGGAAATATTAGGGGTAATTATTCGTGGCAGACTTCGCCCCCTCACCCATACTGCACTTAAACTCTTCCAGTCCTACAGACAAAAAAATAGCAGCACTGAAAAACCTATGTATGAGGAAACAATACAATGTGCATTCTGAAAACACACAAACACACACACACACACACACACACACACACAGACAAGCCAAAGTGAATAGCCTGGTTACCAAACCTATTATAGCTCCCGAGTCTTACATCCTCTATTTGCGGAGAGGATGTGAGACTCGGGAGCTATAATAGGTTTGGTAACCAGGCTAAAAGTGAAGGAACAAAAATAACTTACCTATGGGTATAATGGTTCAGTCCTCAGCTAGCACAGAAAATTCATGCATCCAACAAGGACCTGAAAAAAGAAAGGAAACATTACTTATAGTGTAGTTAAATAGCACAAAGATGTGATTTTTCCAGTTAACTAGAAAAATAACAATGATATTTGGAATGATCTTGTTCTGATGATGCTCGAAATTGTGGTGGAACCTCCTTGAACATAGCCTGTGTACCATCCTATTTGTATGCCTATTTCTTAGGCAATGGCATACAAATAGGATGGTACCCAGGCTACCTTGAACAAACACCTAACAAGTTCAAAAGACCAAACAAACAGTTGAAGAGTTCAAAAGAGCTATATGTACCACCAGACTAGCAGTAAGCAGCGTTTTTACAACACAAAAAGTACAAATCACACACCACACATTCTCAGACTCTTCCTCAAGGCCAGGCCCTGCTTCTACGAAAACTTTCCCTTTTTCTACATGTCAAAGGAAACGACAAACCAAAACATCCTGCAGACACTGACGCACAAAGACATTCCTGACTCCACAATCACTGCAAGATAAACGACAACAAACAAGGAAAATTCCACATGTCCTTCTGACGGTGTCGTAGCTATAGTTATGGCCTTGAATCCAGCCTACATTTAGGATGTTTAAAATCCGTAGAGCGTAATCAGCCGTTTTAATTCTACGTAGAGCATAGACGGACCGCTCGAATTCAACATAGAGCGTTATTGGAGCATTTTACGTAGAGCGTAATTTGCTGTTTTGATTCTACATAATGCGTTGTAGCTACCCGGAATTTAACGTAAAACATAAGGGGGGGGGGCTTTCTGAATTCAGCGTAATACGTAGCTGTCTCTAAAAATTTACCAGAGCGTTGTCGGGACCCCCCCATGCAGGCCCCCTTCTGACGGTGTCGTAGCTATAGCTATGGCCTTCAATCCAGTCTATGTTTAGGAACTTTACAATTGATATCCTGTGTGAACTTCAAGGTCTTAGGAAGGGAATTGTCACTTGGATGGGTTGCTATGGCAACAGATTTGTTGCTACGGAAACAAATTTGTTGCTATGGAGACAGATTTGTTGCTATGGAAACAGATTTGACTTCTTTCATTCTGTTGGTTACAGTCTTAATTACATGTCACGTGTGAAAAGAGAAGGGAAAACCATGAACAGTTTATTTTGTCCATACTTATTAGAATGATATATTGTCAGAAAAATAAGTTTCCATTTTCTTTTTAAAAAAATCTTTTTTGCTGTTCTTTAAAATCATTCAGAATCTTCCCCTTTGCCTGGAACATACTAATCTTTGTGTGTTACATACATGAAGAGTACCTGAGAAGAAGGTTGTATCCTTATACACAAAAATATTCCTCTGAATCAAAACTTAGAGTACTACATGTAATCTCAAAGTCTACCTTTCAGACTAGCTAAGACTGTATCAAATGCTTTGGTAGCCTACAATTATACTGGATACTGTCTTGCCTATTGGATACTGTCTTAGCTACTAAAAGATCTGTTTGAAGATTAAATTTATGGTAAAACAACTGGCTGGAAGTTACAGGAACCATCACAGACAGTTTACCTTGATGTGTGGAAGTGTGGTAGACAGAGCAAAGATAAGGACTGAAACTCTACATATCAAACTGTCTTTTAAACCTGACGTCTGACATCTGGCATTCTTTACATCATGTAAAGTACACATGGTTAGAACAATACGTCACAGGAATGTAAGATAATATAAAATCAATAGATAACAATGATCAATACTGATATGAAACATTAGGTTTCACTTTCATCATCAGAATTTGTATAAAGATTTCACAAAAAACATCTTACAAAATTTTAATCAACCATAATACATACTTTAAAACTTTACGATTAAGAACAAGGAATTAACCAATGGCCAACACTTGATCATTCTACTTGAGTGTGTAAAGGTACACCTGAGGTCGTGTGGCACAACAGCAGCGTGCGCGACTCGGAATCAAGAGGTCCCGGGTTCTAGTCCTGACACGCCACCGATCTTGTGCCCTTGGGTAAGGCACTTCACACGACTTTCCCCACTAGACTCAAGTGAAAATGAGTATTGTCTGTCCAGTATTCGTTTCTATGTGTGGGACACAACACCAGCAACAGCTGCCTCTGTTTTGCGTGTATTGCATTGTTGCAATTTCAATAAAATAAAAAATAAATAAATAAAGAGGGCCTGCAAGGGGGGGGTAGTGATTACGAATTACGCAAAATTTTCGCCGCCTTTTATGAATTACGTTTAAGTCTCAGAGCTGATTACGATTTGCGGCTTATGTCCAATTACGAATTACGTTGATTTTTGCGGAGGCTGCCTACGAATTACGAAGTCTAAAACGGCCTGATTACGCCTTACGAAAAAGGGCTTTCAGGCCCTCAATAAAGCCAATCCCTAACGGAAAGAAAGACAGCGAAACAAACCCTCTAGCTGGTAGTCCCCACGCCCGGCCGCACCAGACAAACTTCCCCTGGTAACAACTTTCCTAAGACTGCCCTCAACAAACCTTCTGATCCTTTCGCAGCAAGCAAACACCCTGGGATCTTGGCACATTTGTCTCGAAGTTGGCCCGGCTGGCTTTACAACTTAAACTCTCACACCGCTGGGAGACGAAATCAATCCCCTGGCCAGCTTCCAGAACTCACAGAGACTCACATGAGGCCTGGGAAAAAAATGTTGTGTTTCCTGTTCCCTGACCGACCCAGGAAAAAAACTGTCTCAGACCCTAGCCTTTTTTGGGGGGGGGTGGACCCCTGCAAGGGACATAATTTTTTGGAGCTGATTGACCTTTTCTAAGTTCTAGTTCCATGATTCCTGAGTAAAGAAACATTATACAATCAGTTTTCCAACATTGACATTGAAAATAAAAGTGTCCTCATGCAAGTTTAAGTTTGTTTAACTGTATTGTATATGTTGGATCACTAGTGATTGCCAATGTCTAAAAAAAAAGATAAAAAGAAAATCCCTACCTACTGACCCTAATTTTCTCAGCACTGAAACTCACACTCACTCACTGTCCAGTTTATCGTCTGTTGTTCCCTGTCTTCCGAGGGTTAGACGTGCTTGCACTGTATAACTGTACAACAGGAAACACAACATTTTTTTTCCTCGGCCTGACCGCATATGCGCTGGTAGAGATGAGACGAAACGTAAATAAACCAGCCACAATAGGCGACACTGACCCGTGACTTCACTGAAAGTTTCTGTGAAACATATCGCACATAGCTATCTACTCGCAAGGACGGAAAAATCACGCCCAGACGATTTACAACAAAGAACAGGGACTGCTAAAAACCACATTGCGCTAGTCTTTACCAGCATTCTCTCAGTGTTACATAAGCATGGTATGTATACTGTAGTATATGTCAACAAGTAAATATGATGTGATTTTACACACAAATTTGTCACTGTCAAAATGTGCACTTATTCAAGGGAACTGCAGTGAACAAACTAGTAAAAGAACTTTCAAAGCACCTCGACTATCCGTACAGTTTAGATATCTAAAATGATCTGCCTGAAACAATCTATGGATAACTCCCCAGGTATCTCTCAAAAATGGGACAACTTGCCAAGCAAGTATAATAGACCAGTTTTCCTTTCAGGGATTGCAAGAACTGCTTACGTCACAGGGGAGACATTTCAAATAGAACACTATTCTAGAACTCGGAAGTTCAACACGGCTAATACAGTAGTTTAGTTCTGGCTTAGAAGAGTCATTAGGTCATTCATGATCATCATGATGATGATGATACAGAAAGTACACTTGTAGGTATTCAACCATGGACTTGAGCTCATGATACTTTCCTACATGCAGGAACATCTACTTTGATAAAAGTTAGAAGTACAGAGGATTTAGTTCATCCTTACTGTGTTTTCCCAGCCCCAGTGAAAGGGCAGTGTTGGGGAAACAGGAGTAGAAAGGGGTTTAGTAACAAACTGGTTTGTCCTCAAACACTGGCCACGACAAGCGGACGGAAAACGGATCCTTCACAACACCGGGTAGGTCGTTTTTTCAGACATTTCTCCGGGATTTACCGTAAATATCGGGCGCGTAAGATGCATTAGCGCTGATCTCTTGAGGAGACGGCAGACTTTATGGACAGCGTGGGAAAAGTTCTTCAGATTTCTGGGGACATACTCTGACATTTACTTTTCCTGCGTAGTGTAAACTCAACGTTTCAGCTTTGAAAAGAGATGAGACTTGTACCTACAATGTAGAAATTGTAATAACAACCAGCAAGGCAATGATAGTCTGTCAAAATGTACTATAGAGTATACAAAGCGGCAACAGTGTGTGTAGTCTCATAGCCTCTGAAACTAGAGGTTGAGACTTGGCAATACCTGTACAGCTATTCAATCAGTTGCTCACCTAAAATGCATGGACTGGAAAGAGTTGCTATTTGTCCATTCCTACATCTGCTATTTGTCCATTCCTATATCTGCCTCCATGTCAATTTCTTTGTGGTTCATTCCAAAGGTGAGACTGAATTTTGATATAATACTAATCTATAGGATAGATGATCAGTCTTGCAGTATTAATTGCTGCCATATAACGTTATAGTACAATGCACAATATCAAGCCAATGAAGTTTTTATTCATCCATCCATCCGCATTCTCTTTTTAGCGAACGCCCACGAAAGCCCAAAAATTGTCGCACGAATCTTAAAAAATTTTGTGTGGTTATGTCCAGAGTGTGCTCCCGCGTGTCCATGCCAAGTTTGAAGCGAATCCATCGAGCCGAACTTAAATAAATCGAAATTTACTGTTTTTTTTCTCTTCTTGGCGAACGCCCACTTTACTTCCGGGTTCGCTGCGAACGCCCACTACTCTTTGCAAAATTTCGGCCCTCGCGCAACGCCGGCAAAATCTACCACCACAAATATGTTCCTATATGCCTCCCCTGAATTTCTGACAAGTTTCCGTGCTTTACGAGCTTTTAAAGTACCCATTTTTTGACAAAATATGCGCTGCGACGAGCTCGCCGCCTCGGCGTATACGTTCTACCTGGTCACGTGACTTGCGGTCGGGGACTGTTCGGT